ACACTTACATCCCAAATCCAAACATCCACACTCAGATCTAACTGGGTGTGGGTGTGAGTATAAGAAAACCCACAACCACACCCAAACCCACCTACCTATACCCATCACTCTCGATATTGTTGATGTACTAGCCATTTTTTTGTCTTTTTACTCGTTCAATTGATGAATAATATAACTCTCTTAACTTAATGTTGAGAAATTTTGACGTACAAATAATAATTACTTTATTTTACTAAAATATACCACCAAAGATGATTTTATCTTTGATTTAAGACCATCTCATATTACGAAAAGTTCGACATTGACAAAAGTTAGTGTCTCGTAATGATAGCTTTTTTCAAGCATGAAAAATTAAGCAGCTATAAGAACTCCGAAAACATTACAAGAACGAAGATATTTTTGGGAAATGCGAAGCAGTAACCAAAACAGTTGTTCTCACAGGATGTTATTTCTGAGCACTCAGACGCTCACACCCAATACATCTGAACACGTGACTTTTCACGTTGTTGCAAGACCATAAAATTATTCTATTTCATAGGACCCTCCGTTCAGTCGAGGAAACTGTTTATTTTTCAAGAAGAAAATTGCATGCAAAGAAAAGTACCAATGAGCACTAACTAATCATTTTAGTCACGAATACGCTTTATATACCTAGAAAACGTGTCTGCTTCTTGTATATAAAATTTTGCTTTTAAAAAACAACCTTCTTATACAAGGAATACCTATCTACAGTGGATACTTTTGAAAATTCAATAGGTATCCATCATAGAGAAATTGTCACTGTAGTTGTACTTAAAATCTTTAATTGAAAGAATAATGAAAAATACTACAGTAAAAATGAAAGGGAAATGTGTCTTATACCAAGAAAAACAACTTGAAAAAATTCAATACATTATAACCAAAAAAAAGGCATAAAATTTTCATCTATATAGAAGGTTGATGATTTTGTCAACAGTAAAAATAAATAGCATGTTTCAATCAAAACATCAATGAGAACTAATGCCCATAAAATACAAGAGACATTTTATCAAACAATTAATCATTGCGTCAATAAAATGATACCATACATACGTCTATCACATGTCATTTTTCAAAATAAAAGCAATTTGATTCTAATAAGTATAAATGATCATGAAACATATGGTTAGGAATAATATCGTAAGGCTAATTATTGTTGTTTTTGACGCAACTATCTCGTTTTTTGTTATTGAGACATGTTTTCATAGTATGTGACTTGATAACAGTAAGTTACGTTTTGAAATCTCTTCTGTTTTAAGAAGTAAACTGCATGTCTTGTTTTTTTTCAAAGGATAGTTATTTTCATGAGAAAAATGTAATTGTTGGTGTTACATGTTAATTTTGTTTATTTAGCTCTTTATAACTGTAGTATTTATTCTAGAAGTTCTATTTTTATCGGTTTATTTCCAAAACCGAAAAGTCTAAACAACATCAAATCCGACTTTTAAGTAAAAAGTCCAACAAGATGTCTAACTATAATTATTCGTACAACTGGAGACGTGGCATTAATCAATATGGTAATCGATATGATAATCGTGGTCAAGGACAAGCTAAAGGAGGTATGTTGTATATAAGGAGCTGTAAGTAAACATTTTGGTGGTCCAGAACTAGCCGAATCCAGATCCAAGTTTTTTTCCACCTAAATCTGACATCCTTTGTTTACATAAACAAGTGAAGGGTCAAAGGCTTGATTATTTAGAGGCTACTCTATGAAATAAGTCAATATACAATAGTTTCTTGTTGCTCATTTTCCCATCACTCGATGCTACATAAATTAAAATTTTTCGCTTATATTGAAAACAACATTATTTTAGAAAAAAAAGAAACTGAACATTTAATTGATAAACGAAATTTGTCCTTGGAAATCGTCCAACCAACCGTGATAGCCAAACCTTCAGATGAATAAAACAGCTTTAGTTGTATTTATGCATAAACAAGATCAAGCAATTAGGGAGTTACGGATCCACGTTTTGTGAACCTAGATCGCAACTCCCCTAGTCGTATGATTACTATTTAAATATCAAAATCACGTCTAATTTTATCTTATCAATTTCACAGAAAGTTTCTTTAAGATTAATATTTGAAATTTGTATGAGTAAAATACTCGTTATTTTTGTCATTTTAATTTTATTAATATTATTAGATCTCGTCTTTTGTCACGAAATGTCAGTATACTACTATTGATGCATTGTGATTTTAGGATCATACCATTATAGCAACTATGACGGATCTTATTACTATCAGAACGAAGACGGTTCAACATACTATTCGTCATCTGAAGGCTATGGAATGTATACAGCGCCATATAATAATCCTCGTTATTATGAACCAAGCGAATCAGAGGACGAAGAAGAAGAATATATTCCCAAGGCAAGACGTCGAAATGCCAAAACGATAACAGGCAAAGTATCGAAAGCGAAAACTAGAAAACAAAAATCTCGAAAATGACAATAAATCAAAGATATCATGATGCATCGTATTATATGATTTATTCGTATACAAAAATTCACATCATTATTATTTGTTCAGAAAGAAAAACTATTTTTTATCTTATCTATTCTAATAAAATTACAGTGATTTTTAATATTAATAACATACTCCTTGATTGTCTCTATTGAGTTCCTATTTTTCTTTTTCGTTAAATTCGATTACCAACACTGACAATAAATTAAACGAATGTCTCTTTAAAACCTATATTTATCAACCAAATAGTTCGTCTCTTATCTAAAACTTTGTTTTTATATCGAAAAAATATCTCTATATACAATTTTAAAAAGCCTAAAGTTACAGTATGCTTTTCGGATTAGAAGTATCTATTGTCCCAACTTCTATTCAGTAATATTTCATATCAACTAGGACGAAGATGACTTAACCCTTTTTGTCTTTGGCTAAACTTTACGGGTCGGATGCACGATTCATTCAATAACATGAATCTTATGGCCTCTAATATACATAGAACCAGTCTGAACCAAACTCGTCAAACATCAATATATTTATTACGTAGTACATTCGCTGTTTTTGTTTATTTGAAAAATTTCTGAAATTAACAACAAAACAGGGATGATGATATGATTCATGTAAATGCATAAACATCACATTCAGATTGTACACTATTAATTGTGCTGTTGTCCGTTCAGAAATTTAAAAGAATGATTCTTGTAATTGATTATATAATTCGAAATGATCGGTTTCAGCGTAACAAAGCCAAACTTAATATTTCATCAATCAAATCAACAGGAGAGAGACTGCATTTGAATATACTTAAACGTACTCGAGAAAAGAAAAATATGAGATAGACTATGACCAGCACATGACGACAGAACAGAAACAGAAAGGAAGATTTAGACTCCTATGGATATCAAACCACTACAATAAATCAGTCTTTCTCTTATGACACGATTATAGTACATGCCATAACATTATATATTCAACAGCGTCAAAGAAAAACTAGTTTTATGATAAAGACTGGAGTCAGATTCTTGCTATAAAGTCTACAATAGATAGGCTTTAAGTTGATATAAAATCTGTTTGTAAATGTTTCCTAATTAAAGAGAGCCAAATTTTTTTGAAATGGCTCCTATAGGAACTATAGAGCAAGAATGGGATAATTTTAGACTTCATTTACTTTAAAACTTTTAATTTAGAGATACATAAGTTTAATGTATCAAATATATAATATTCAATAATTCTAATAAAAAAACAACGTGTTCTCTCATTAATGAAAGATTCAGTAATAGTGACATCAGTAACAACTCCTTTGTTTTTCTTTCGAAGATTTTATTGAAATGAAAATGAAAACAAAGCATTTCAATAGCAAAAAATTAATTAAAAAGTAAAAGCACATTTTATCTTTTTTTTGTATTATTATTGATTCTTATACGATCTATTTTAAAAAAAAATGATATATTAAATCTTTTTATAATGGGATTCGTAATTATACTTTACAGATCTTGTATTTATGAATTGATTCAATGAGTTAATAACGGTTCATTTGGTTCTCAATCGTTCAACGCTACAGTCGTATTATATTTGGCAACAATTAACAAATTTTGATTTTCAACTGCATTTTCGCGTAACATGGATCAATTTAGTTTTTTAAAAGTAGTATAATTCCACAAATAATGATTTTACGTATCCTCTAGTTTTTCTTATGTAGACTAACATTGATATTAGTAATCTAAAAAAAAACTATTTAATCAATATTTTCTAAGCATCGAGATTAACCCTCGAACAAATAGAATGCTTCGATGAAACGTTTCATGAACAGCAGTGTTTTCGAATGAACTAAAAACGTACATCGAATTTATTCATATTCGTAACCCATTTCAATCTGAATCTTCGGGCACCAAGACGTTGACTTACGTATCTGAATCTTATACGACAAAACTATGATATTTATATAATACAACGCGTTGAGTAAAAGACACGTCTTTATTTTCCTTATTGTGTTTTTTTTTCGAAAAACCCAAGTGATATTTTCCTATAAGTTCTATAAGTCATATATTAAGATTGGACATTCTTATAATTTGTTCTCACATAATTTTTCTTTCTATAAATTCACAAAAACCATTTCATTTATTACTTCTATCTCTGTCGTCAAATAAATCGAACTACATTTAAAATGACGCGCATAACAATCTTAATGGATTGTTGATATTTTGTTTTAATCGAGCTTAAAAACAAAACCATCGTGTTTTCGACATCTATTCAATCTGAGTGTGACTATATTAAAAATACAGTTTTGTTTTTTCTTATTTGGTCTCTTGTTAATTCAATAACAGCAATATATTATTTGCTAAGTATCAATCAAGATGTGGCTTCTCTTCTATAAATCTTTATTCATTGTTGCTGCAGTTAAATATTCACTCTGACCGCATCCTTCGTCTTTAGTATTATGAGCGTCAATCTCATTTCACTATCTTATCTTCACAACTGCTTTGTATGGAACGGTCACCAACAAAACAATTTGTCGATGGAAAAACATGGCTTATGCAACTATTCATGTTAACATTTCTACAGAAGAAACAGTTGTTTGGAATGTTATACCAGGAGAAGAATATGATGGAAACTCTGATTCAAAACTTGAATTAAACTGTCAAAAACAACCTCGCAATAATCTTCATTGTACTTATGATGTTATTTCTCGTCATGATAATGCTATTGTCGACGATACAAATCGACTACAATAAGATGATGATGCTCGATGTTCAGTATATGAAATAATACAGATCAACATGAATGCGAACTTCATAGATGTTGTTTTCAAGCACCATCGTCATGCTCTTATTTATCACAAGCTTTATTTAAATTTACGAGTCTTGCTGAATCAATTCTACTTTCTTCTCGTTTTATTTTTGAAGTACTTTTTTAGTTGTTATTGGTCTTATGCTAAATACGAATGAAAATAAATCGTGACGCTACAACATGATGTTTCATTAGACATTGTTGTCAGCGATACAGATTGGCAGCAAACATTTTATAATTTAGCTCAAAATGAAACACCTGTGTAAGCAAATCAATTAATTGAATGAACTGTATACATATTTGATAAACATCTCTTTCTAAATCCAGCAAAGTTATCTCCAAGATTGTAAACAATTCGGTCTTACAAACACTCTCATTCTTCATTTATCATAAGATATCAAAACAACATGTTTTAGTTTTTTTTTCATATTGTTTCTTTTTAACATATTTTTCACAGGTATGTTTATGAAGATGATGAATCAACATTTTCAATGATTATCTATATTCGAATATCTATGTCGACATTACTACCATTTCAAATTCACGTTCAACCATTTGAAAGTATAATTCATTCACTTCTTGCTTGATGTAAATCAGCAAAAGTACATCTTGATTACAAATAGAGTGTAAGAACAGTTTATACGGATGATTATCCATTTTTATTAGATGCTGCTGCTACCGCGCTTCGTATAACTCATTCAGCATTACCAATCTTCAAAGTATATCCTCTTTATGAAATAATGGTTCGCTGCGATATAAACAAATAAATAAATTTCATAGTTTTTTCCACAATAGGTTTATTCAGTTGGTACTTATTAGAGACTGTAGAAATGTTAGTATTCGATTTTGTGTTGTAAATAGTATAGTCATCATTATGTAATTGAAAGCATTATTTAGAATGTATTGTTTGTTATGATTATGCGTAAGAATGCTTTGAGAAATAACTGTATGCAGCTATGACTATTAGATTACATGAACAAAAGCAGATCCATCAGACGTTTCACTCTATGGCTGAAGTAGAGCGATAAAAAAGAGAATTAATCATAATAAACAAAAAGGAAAAAAAATATAAGCAGTAGCATAGAAGAAAACAGACAAGATAAGAATAGACATCAGTTGTTTTCGATACTAATGTAAATTACGACTACATCTGTATTTTCCTTCACTCGGTTATTATAATTAAATGCATGTCAATGTCTACTTTCTACTATTTTCGTTTATAATCGCTCTTTTTCTCTTAATATATTATTAATGAAAAATTTTGAGTGCTGTCTAGTGAATTTTTCAGTAAGTTGTTTCATCTTTCAGTCTTCTATATTTATATCTGTTGTATAATCCATAAACTTTGAATCATTTTAAAAAAGTTGGTATTGTTAAAACTGAATTCTCAATGAAAAATTTAGTTAACTGTGTGCGAAGCTCTTTGTCGATCTTGGAGAGTTTTTTTTTATACTGATAAACTACTTTTCTTCTATCTCACATCATCAAATATGTCTTTTTTTTTTATTAAAAGAAGACAGGTTCGTGAGAGTACTTTTTAATCGAATATCTGTATACTTTATAATGAGTAAATATTGATAACTCTTCTTTTTTTATTATAGAAAGCATAATAGAAGAAAATATACTGTTTTGTAAATATTGTTTTATCTAATGCTCTTGGGCTTTGATAAGAACAGCCGCACATTACTTGTGAAGAACCATTTCAAGGTAATACTATCCTTTCAAAACAATGGCGGTATGGTTCGTCTTCTATGTGGCTTTATTGGTGACGACAGCCACTGGTAATATTTTATTGTCTGATCCTTCAACGATAGTCTATGAAGGTCAAGCTCGATTTACCATCTTATCCGCGCAACTAATTCGTATGGAATGGTCATCAACAAAAGAATTTGTTGATGGAAAAACATGGCTTGTGCAATCACGTCAAATTCAACCAACTCCACCAATTTTTAATGTCACACGAAATGATACTCATTTACGAATTGATACTACTTTTCTTACATTAGAATATTTACGAAATACTACAACAACATTTAGTCAACATAATATACGTGTTACTATTCATGTTAACATTTCTACAGGAGAAACAATTGTTTGGAATGCTATACCAGGAGAAGAATATAATGGAAATCTTTTAGGTACATTACGTACATTAGATGGAAATCGTGATTCAAAACTTGAATTAGATTGTCAAAAACAACCTCGCAATGATCTTCATTGTACTTATGGTGTTATTTCTCGTCGTGGTTATGCTATTGTTGATGATACAAATCGACCACAATTAGATGATAGTACTCAATGGCCATGGATCATTAATAAACAATATCCAGCACCTGATCCTACACTTTGTCAAGCAGTACCAGTTGAAGAACGTCGAAATTGTGGTTCATCAAATAATACAGATCAACATGAATGTGAAATTCGTGGTTGTTGTTTTGAAGCACCATCATCATGTTTTTATTCATCACAAGCTCAACAAGATTTATATTTATTTGGACATGGTCGAGCTTACTATCAAGCACTATTTGAATTTACACGTCTTGCTGGATCAATTCCACTTCCACCTCGTTATATTTTTGGAGTATTTTTTAGTCGTTATTGGGCTTATGCTGAATATGAAGAAAGACAAATTATTACTGAATATATTCAACATGATGTTCCATTAGATGTTCTTGTTACAGATATGGATTGGCATATCACATTTTATAAATTACTTTCAAATGGTACAAGAGATCAAGCTGGACAAGGTATTGGTTGGACAGGATTTACATTTGATGAACATCTTTTTCCTAATCATCAAAAATTTCTTCAATGGTGCAAACAATTAGGTTTGAAAAATACTCTCAATCTTCATCCAGCATCAGGTAAATTAAAATTATATTCTGTTATCAATTTTATAATTAATTTATTCATATAGGTATTCAACCATGGGAAGAAAAATATAAAGATATGGCTCAAGCTATGGGTATTGATCCTACAACAGGTCATTATGTGCCATTCAATGTCACCGATAAAAATTACACATCATCCTGGCTTAATATTGTTCTTCATGCACTTCAACAATCTGGTATCGATTTATGGTGGTTAGATTGGCAACAAGGTGAACAAGGTTGGATGAATGATATTCCTTATGCAAATCCAACATTTTGGTTAAATCATGTCTTTTTTACTGATCCTTATTTTGGAAACAATCGTCCAGCTCTTCTACATCGTTGGGGTGGTCTTGGTAATCATCGTTATCAAGTTGGCTTTTCAGGTGATGTTGTACCATCATGGGATCCACTTTCATTTCAACCACGATTTACTGCTACAGCAGCTAATGTTGGTTATGGATTTTGGAGTCATGATCTTGGTGGACATACTGAAGAACCAGATCCTGAATTATATACTCGATGGATTCAATGGGGTGCATTTTCACCTATGTTTCGAACACATTGTACGAAAAATTCAAATAATGATCGACGAATTTGGACATTTCCTTGGATCTATCAAAATAATTTAGTTCGATTTACTCAACTTCGTCAAGCACTTATACCATATATTTATACAGCTGCAAGACATACATATGATTCTGGTCTTTCAGTTGTTTTACCTCTTTATTATCTATATCCCGAAAATGATGAAGCTTATTCATATACAAATCAATATTTCTTTGGTTCAAATATTTTTGTTTCCCCGATTTCTCAACCAGTTAATACAAGTACAGGTCTTGTCGAAAATTGGCCTATTTGGTTTCCACCTGATTCTCAATGGGTAAATTTTTTTACTGGTGATCTTTCTTCTTCTACAACAAAATCTTTTACTCTTGATGAAATGCCAGTTTATGCAAAAGCTGGTTCAATAATTCCACTTTTACCTGAACCAAAATCAAGTCGAGAACGAATTGGTCGTTCTCAACAAATTCCACAAAGTCTTCTTTTATATACTCTTATTGGTGGATTATCTAAAGGTTATGGATATGTTTATGAAGATGATGGAACATCAACAGCATATCAAGATTCTTCTCATGCAACAAGTGCTGTCACTAATTTTTATTATACTGTTTTAGATAATACATTGCAATTTAGTAAGTTTATTTCTCATAAAAAAAATAATATTTACATTAATTCTTTTTTTTTTTTTTGTTTTCGTACAGCTGTGTCTGCAGCAACAAGTTTATTTTCAACTTTTCCATTATTACGTACATATGAAATTCGACTTCGAGGTACTTTTCCTGCAACTTATGTTATATTCAATGGTATTATACTTCCTTATGAACCATTCAATGAATTAATTCGTGGTCAAGATGGAACAACAAATGGTTATACTTATGATGGATCAACACTTTCAATTATTATTTATATTCGAACACCTATATCAACATTATTACCATTTCAAATTCAAGTTCAATTATCAGAAAGTATAACTCATCCACTTCTTGTTCAAGTTCCAACATCATTTGTTGGTCTTCTTGCTCGATGTAAATCAGCAAAAGCACGTCTTGATTATCAATGGGGTGTAAGAACAGTTTATATGGATGATTATCCATTTTTATTAGATGCTGCTGCTACTGGTCTTCGTATAACTCATACACCAGCATCAGCTAAAGATGAATTAAATACATTTTTCTATCAACGTATGCCAGGTGCATGTGATGAAATAGCAAATAAGATTACAAATCTTGATGCAAATCTTCAAAATATATTATTAGCACAATTACAATGCAAATTATTTATTGACAAATAATTAAGATAAATATTCAAAACGAATAAATTTTTTTAATGTTTGATTAATTTCTAATAGATCGATTTTATTACTTGTATCAATTGATTTTCTTATTAAACAACGAATAATTTGTTTAAGTTTTAAAGGATTTTGAAAATAATAATGAATTAATGATTGATGATAGGAAATAGAAAGTAAATTTTGTTTACAATAAATATGTTCACTAAGTAGAAGAAGATGA